CTCTCCCGTGCGGCCAAACAGTATGTGATTTAAAAACAACAAAGCCTCCCCCCCCCCCGGGCTTTCAAAAAAGCCGTCTTCATCTCTCTGTCTCTCTCGCTCTCATGGGGCATAGGCGCGAGAGAGACGGAGCGACGAAAACGACTCTCGGAATCATACACTGCTGCGCTGCGGGGCGCCTCACGTCGCGAACCTAAAACACACGGAGCACGACAAAAGTAAAGAACGAGTCGCTGGATGGAAGGGGAGGGGAGGGTGAAAGAGAAAAACGAGAAGCACTCTGCCAGTAAGCCAGCGGCGGCCCGAGGCGGCCCGAGGAGGAGTGGCAAGATGGATGAACTTGGGACAACAGCGCGGGGAATCGCGTGGCGGGCCGGGGGCGAGCCGGGCCGGGCCGACCGGGCCGCTGGGGTGGCCGGCGACGCCGAGCGCGGAGCAGCGAGCAGCGCAGAGCGCGGCAACAGGTTCACTTGGCACGCCAGACCGCCAGCACAGCCTGCACCGCCAGGCCGACGCACGCCGCGCACTTCGACACGACGGCACGGCACGGCATGGCACGGCAAATTCGCGCGTCGGCCAGGCCATTGTCAGCAGTGATTAGGAAGCGCCGCCATTGTCACCACGGCCGCCGTCCGAACGACGCTTTTCCGAACAGACAGACGGACAGACAGACAGACGGACAGACAGACAGACAGACAGACAGGCAGCCGCTTTGGGGGCGGATTGCCCGGACCGCGGCGGCAGCGAAACGCGCGTCGTAAAACGCGCGCGACGCCGCGTTCGGTTTGTTTCCGAGGTATCGATGATGGATTCGATCCTCGCGCCGGAAACTGGTCACGTTTGTTTGCCACCCCTTCCCCTGCCCCGCCCCCTTCCGTCATCCCGGCCATTTATTTCCCACAGGAGAAGTGGCAGCGGGCGGCCCGTCCGCAGAGACGCGCCCCGCCAGGCCAGGCCGGGTCGGGTCGCCGTTGTCCGGCCAGTAAAGAGTCAGACAGACAGCGAGGGCTGCTGGGACGCTCGTCGCTCTGTCTCTCTCGCACTCATGGGGCGTCCCGTGTGGGTGCGAGAGAGACAGAGCGACTTTCCGGTGGCGCGCCCTGGCGGAAGGAAGCGGCGACACTCGGCGCGCTGCCGCCCTTGCCGCCGCCGTGGACGATAATCGTAAAAACGGAACAACCCCATTAGGGCAAGACGAGTCGACGCCCTGCGTCGCCGCGCGCCCTTCGCCTCCATCTAGGCCCCGTCCTCCAGCCAGCCGTCCCGCCCGGCTTGCCCGCCTCGACGAAGGACCTGGCGCAGGACGTCAGGTTGGTGCGCGGCCCGGCCGGCCCGCCGGGCGTAGCCTGGCGGGGACGTTATCAGAGCAGAGTCCCTTTGAGGAGGTCCTCCCTCCCCGCTGCCGCCGCCCCGCTGCAAGGTCGGACTGCAGACTGATTCCGAGAAGCGTTTTCATCGCTCCGTCCCGACGAGTGCGAGAGAGACAGAGCGATGGAACGACCCTCGGAATCAGTGGACTGGGCCACGTTGGTCGGGTCAGTGGCCGCGGACGGACGGACGGACAGACAGACAGACAGACAGACAGACAGACAGACAGACAGACAGACAGACAGACAGACATACAGACAGACAGACAGACAGACATACAGACAGACAGACAGACAGATAGACAGACAGACAGACAGACAGACAGACAGACAGACAGACAGGCAGACAGACAGACAGACGCGGGCCCGTTCGGCACGTGCCACCGCACGGCGATTAGTTATTGCAGGGCTGTTTCCCCGCGGCACAGCACTGCAAGCAGTGGCACGCAGCGCAGCACGACCGCCATGAAGCAAGCCGTGGAGCAAGCCGTGGAGCAGGCGGGGCCGCCGAATGGATCCACTGCACCCAAAAGACTCGTTTCTCGAACTCGAACCAACAAAATTTCCTTGCAAAAAGTGAACCAACTTGAAACATTCCAGTGAATTCACTTGTTGCCTCTTTATCCAAGAAACGACAAGAAAATTTACATGCAATACGCGAATCAACTTGAAAATTCAAGTAAATTCAGTGGTTGCAAGTGTGTATGATTCCGGCTCAACAAACGACCCTTTTTTTCTGGGGGTGGAGTGCGTACCATTGCAGTGCACCACCTATAGAGCCGAGCCGCCGGCTGCGTGCGTGTTGGCGAGGTACGACACGCGCGTGACACGCGACGGACACGCACGCACACGCCAGAGGGGCGCGGAGACCAATTTCCCCCGCGGCCGCCATGCCAACTTTGAAGTCACGCGAAACGGAGCGGGGAGTCCGACCGACCCAGGGCGGGGCGGGGCGGGGCGTAGGCTCCCGAAAAGGGTTCCTTCCTGTTGCACGGACCTTCCCTTCCACCTTCCTACGACGGGGAGGAAGCACAGGCCAGGAAGCCCGGGGAGGGGAACGAACGGCGGACTCCGCGTGCAGCGCCCTCACGCTGTCTCTCACGCACCCCCGCGGCACGCCGGCACGCCCCGCGAGTGCGAGAGAGACAGCGCGACGCGTGACGCACGGCGCGCCATATTTATTCGGCTCGCTGCGATTTGAGAACGGCCGCCGTTATTCGCCTGCCAGTGGCGTGGTGTTGCCGCGCGGCCCATCGCCCCGTCTCTCTCGCACATGCACGGAACGCCCCGCGAGTGCGAGAGAGACGGGGCGATATGAAGGAGGGCGAAGAGCGGAGCAGGTGGCGCACTGGAAAATACCGGCGGCCAGGGGGCGGGGCCGGAACGGCCGGAACGCCCGGACGATACGGCAGAGTCATCATCGCAATCCGCACGACAAACAAAACGACAACGCAAACAAAAACACAATTTTTGTTTATTAAGTGGCATACACCTTTATGCCCGAGGCGCGACGGAGCGGTTCGTGTGGAAGTGGACGCCGCGGGGCGCAGTGCGGGGCGCAGTGCGGGGCGCAGTGCTGGGCGCACGCGCACCCTCTGCCCGCCACACTGGGCAGCACTTCCCTTTCTCAACGGAGTGAAGCCCAAGTCCCAGGCCAGGCCGAGCCGGAGCGCAAAGACGACAAAAGACAACAACAACAGATAAATCGGCATGGCGACGCCGAGCGGCGCCGAGCCAGGTGAAGCAGAAGGACTGACGCGACGGGGCTTGAGTGAATTCGGGTGGGGCGGTGGAGCGGGGCTGGGAGCTGGATGAAGACTTGAGCCCCGCCCCCCCCCCCCCCTTGACACATGGCCACACGGAGTCGCAACGTGGACGGGGTCCTAAATACGGGCCTGGAGGGCTGGAGGGCCTGGAGTGCCGTCGACACATGGCAGAGAGGGGAGGGGGGGGGGAATAAATCGCGTTCGCCGAGAATATCGAGAAGACACGCCGCGGTCGGGACCCCCTTTACGGGAAACGTCGCGGCTCTTTGCTCCCCCGCCCTCACTGGAAAAAAACCAACAACATTCCCGTGTTTGTTTTGGATTTTTGCAGTGTAGCCCCGCCGCCACCACACTCCCTCCGGCCGCTCCGCTCCGGCCCACGCGCGCACACCTGTCCGCGCCACTCGCTCCCCACGACCCCCGGCTAGAGGCTACAATCTGAGCTCGCGGCGGCTCTGCCCTGCTCTGCCCTGCTCTACCCGCCCCACAGCGCGTGGGACTCGGTCGGGCCGGGCGGCTCGAGGACTCAGCCCGGCAAATGCGGACAGAGCGGACCTCGGAGCGGACGCTACACTGGCGCCAGGCAACACGCCGCAACGCGCCGCAAGGACCGAGGACCGTGACCTGCCGTGACCCCAGCGCACCTGCGAGCCAGCGGCATGTCTCTTTCATTCGTCGTGCCCGAGTTGTCACGGCGACACTCTTGTCGCAAGGACAGCGCCAGCCAGCAGGGGGCAGCAGGGGCTGCCTCGCGTTTTGTTCGTTCTGGCTCACAGCTCGCGCCAGGGACGGGAGGGGCGCTTGCAGCCCCGCGGGGTGGGGCCTGGTGGTGCGGACAAGGCGCGCGCGGGGTGGGACGCCTCAGAGCGCCTGCGAACCCGGAGGTAGGCAGCCCGCCGGACGGGGCAGCGCGCCGGGCGCCAGGAGGCCTACCTGGCAGGCGCGCGGACAGACGGACAGACAGACACCGGTGGAGAGGCGACAGTCAAAGGAGACAATGGCCACGGAGGAGTCGCCGGGCCGGGCCGAGCCGGGCCCTGCCGGAGGAATTACGGCACGCTGAGCTGCATACCTGTGTGTGAATAAAGTGGGGGTGTGGGACAAACTCCCCGGGTGCGCCCGGATGCCCCCGGGAGTCTCGTCCGATAGCCCCGGGGGAATCGGAAAAAGGGAGCGGGTGGGGCCCAGTGTGTGGCTGCACCGGAGGATCTGTCCGCTAGCCGCGGGGGGAGAGGGGGAAAGGGGGGGGGAAAATTTGGGTGGAAGGGGGGGGGGGGGGCGGGGGAAGCGGGGGGGTCCCCCCCCTGGGGCGGGTAGGGGTGCGGGAGGGTGGGGTGCTCCGTTCCTCCCCGCCCGCCCCCCCCCCCGGCTGGGGCCCGGCCTCCGCGCGCGTGGCGGTCCGGCCCTCCGTCGCCCCCGGGGCGGGGGGGTCCCGTGCGGCGAGAGAGGGGGGAATATCGCCCGGGGGTTTCGCGCGGGGGCCCGGGGGTGCGGGGGTCGGGTCTCCGTCGCCCCGGGGGCGGGGGGCCCCGCGCGGGGCGGAGAGAGGGAAGCCCGCCCCGGGGGTCCCCCCCGGCGGCCCGGCTGCGGCCTCGGGGTCCCGTCGCCCGAGGCGGGGGGGGCCCGGCGTGCGAGAGAGGGGGAAGTATCCCCCGGGTGGTCGCGCGGGGGCCCCGGGCTGCAGGCCTCGCGTCTCCGTCGCTCCGAGGCGGGGCGGCCCGCGCGTGCGAGAGAGGGGGAAAGTATCGCCCGGTGGTCGCGCGGCGGCCCGGCTGCGGGCCTCGCGTCTCCGTCGCTCCGAGGCGGGGCGGGGCGCGCGTGCGAGAGAGAGGGGGTGGCGGGCGCGGCGGGCTAGGCTCCCCCGGCGTCCCTCTCACCGTGCCCTCTCACCGGCCGTCGCGCGGGCTGTCCTCTCATTGGCGGACCGTTCGGACGGCGGTGCTGTCACCTCCTCGCGGCGCTGCTGCCCGGCTCCCTGCGCGCGATTCTCGACAAGTTTGAACTTGTCGAGCTCTGTTGGCGAGCGTCCCCCGACGAGTCCGGACATGTCGCGCTCCGACGCTCCCCGCCCCGTCCCCGTCAACACCGGCAGTGCGCTCAGACCGTTGTGGTGTCGTCAGTGTCGCGAGGACCTTCCCCGCTCCCGGTCGTCTGCTCGCTGCATCTGTCGGTATTATGGCCCTCCCCCGCCTGGTCTGCCTTCTGGGCGCTCTGACCCTGCTGTCGCCCGGGTGCCTCAGCGAATCCCCTTCATCTACCTGTACGACTGCCGATGTGTGGAGTGCTGTCCTCCGCGACTATCTGTTCCTGTCGGAGAGCGGCATTGATCAGCGTGTGAGCGAATGGATGTCATTCTGTGATCGGCTTCCGGAGGGCACTAACCTGAGTGACACTTCCGGCCTCCTGGCTCTTTGGCGCGAGCACTCTGCGATGTTGCCCCTGTCGGACTGCTCCTGCTATGCAGCGGCCAGTAGTTCGTTAGAAGGCGACGAGAGCGTACCGCCCTCACTGTTCGTGGACTACCCGGTTCTCGGCGTCATCCTGGCCGTGTTGGTGTACCTATTGCGCCTCTACCATGTCCGCGGATCTGAGTCCGCTACCTTCTACGTGTCGGCGTTCGACCACCACCTTCATCAACCCGGCGACGATCGCCATCGTGGGGCCGAGCTGCTGCGGTGAGTGTCTCCCTAGAACGTTGCTCATCATCTCGGCGCTGCCCCGGCGCTCCGTGGCTTATCCGAAGTGCTCACGAATGATGTGTCTGTTCCAGGCAAGACCACCCTGGCGCTGCGGATGCTGGAGCATGAGCGGGAAATGTTTTCGTCCCCGTTTGAGCATTATTTCTGGTGCCTTCCGAATGGGAGTGAACCGCCGAAAGAAATCGCCAACCGGCCCGACTTCCAAATTCACTATGGCGTTCCCGATGGGGCGACCCTACCCATGCATAGTATCGTGTTTCTGGACGACCTACAGACCGAGCAGGGCATTCTGACGCAGCTGCTTTATACCGTTCACAGCCACCACAGAGCCTTAACGGTGGTCAGTCTGAACCATAACCTGTTTCCTCGCAACCGCTACCAGCGCGATCTGTCTCAGAGCACAAAGTACATCATCGCCTGCAACAACCCCCGCGACGCGGCCTCGTTCTTCCGCCTGGCTCTTCAGTTGGAGCCGAGACGTGCTCGGAGCCTGTACGAGTGCTACCTGGACGCGTGCAAGGAACCCTTCGGCTACCTGCTGTGCGATCTGACTCAGCAGGCCCATCCCGCGCTTCGTTACCGCACTCGTCTGTTCCCCTCCGACGGCGGTGTGTGCGTGTACAGCTCCGACGAAGACGTGCAGCGTTTGCTTCGTGAAAATGACGGATATGAGCGATTCTGTGAAGACAAACATGCCCCTCATGCAAGTATTGGTGAAAGCCAACAGGGCTCGGAGGAAGCAACTGATGAAGGGGTTGAACAAGTCCGAGGTGGACTGCCTATGCGAGCTCGTTCTGAATGCGGTGGCTGGTCCCGGTAAGGAGCATCTCAGCCCGTCGTGCGTCCGTCACTGCCAGCGGCACAAGCGGCGTATTCGCACTTTGGCGTTCAACCATCGGCTCTCGTGGAAGAAGCGGCGAGACCTCCTGACCAACCAGTCTGGGGCCGGCTGGTTCATCCCCCTCCTCTCCGCAGTCGTGTCCGGTCTGTTGTCGAGATGAGTCACGCTCTCAGCAAACGCATCATTCTGTCCCCGCTCCAGCTCCAGCGGCTTCTCGGCCGCGATCGTGAGCTGACGAGTCGCACGGATGCGGCCCGCATGGACGCCCTCGCCAATGCCACCCGGGCGGCCTCGAAGATTGGTGCCGCTCAAGCCTACGCTCAGTACCGCGCGACGCAGCAGAGGCACCTGAATCAGGCGGCTCAGGAGCGCGAGGCTCCGCTAGAGCTCGTCGTATCGGATCCCGCCCCGCCCTCTGGCCAGTTCGTGGAGAACGATCTCATCAACTTCCTGGAAGACGACCTCCCCCCTCCTCCTCCGAAGCCGAAATCCCCCAAGGCTCCGAAGACGCCGAAGACTCCGAAGACCCCGACGTCCGTGACGAAGCCGAGGCAGGCTCCGTCTCTGAAAACGTCGCGGCAGTGGAGAACGGCCCATTCTCGCCTCCAGCGTCAACAGGGGTTCGATGAGGAGGGCGAGCCCGTAGCCGGTCCCTCCTCGACGCCCAAGCGCACGCCCAAGCGCGCCCGCCTTGTCGTCGGCTCGAAAGCCAAGCCTCCTGCGTGGTCCCCGATTCGGACTCGCGCCCGCTCTAAGAACCAAGCCTCGCCATGGCTCCGGTACGGAAAGAGCCCCAAGCCGTAGTGCCCCAACACCTGGCTCGCCGCATCCTGGACCGCATGTGGACGTCCCCGGGCACCTCCTACGCGGCCTTTGCTGGGCAGCATCTTCTTCGCCGTGCCGCCGCTGAGCCTAGCTCGAGGAAGACCAAGTTGGAGCCCGAAGACGTCCGACGCTACCTCACCCAGGAGCCTGCCTATACCCAGCACGCGCCCCGCCGCGAGAGGTTTACGAAGCCGTTCTATAATATGGTCAAGCTGTGGCATCTGGTGGAGACCGATCTCCTGGAGACGGGGCGCGTGGCCAACTTTAATGATGGAGTTCGTTATTTACTGCTTGCTATAGAGTGCACCTCACGTAAACTGTATGTCAAACCGTTAAAGAATAAAGAAGGGAAGACGTGCGCTGAGGCGTTCAGAGAATTGTTGGAGAATGAGTTCCCCAAATACCCCGATATCGTGCGTTCCGACCGCGGGTCCGAGTACAAAGACAAGGGGTTCCAGAAAATGTTGAAAGACCGCGGCATTCGCCATCTGTTTGCCAGCAACACGGAGAAAGCAGCGATCTGTGAGCGGGCAGGGCAGACGCTTCAACGTCGCCTCCACCGTTACATGACCCACAACAACACGTACTCCTTCCTCCCCGTGCTTCAAGATATGGTCAAGAGCATCAACGACACGCCCCACAGCACCACCCTGGTGGCTCCGAACAAGTTCTCCGAGTCTGACGTGTACCCAGCCTGGGAGCGGAATTATCTGCGCCATATGCCCCACATCCCGGACCCGCGTCCGTACCGCTTCGAGGTCGGCGATCCGGTCCGAGTATCTCTGCTCCGTCGGAGCATGGACAAAGCCTACCGGGGCACGTTTTCCCCTCAAGTATTTACGGTGAAAGCGCGGAGGAAGACGCGTCCGCACACCTACGAGTTGCGCAATGCTGCGGGCGAGCCCGTCGATGGTCTGTTTTTCGAGCAGGAGCTTATCTTGGCCAAGGACCGCCCCGACCGCCGTTACATGATTGAGAAAGAACACGATCGCCGGGTCAATCCTCAAACGAAGAAAAAGGAGGTGCAGGTCTCCTGGGTTGGGTGGCCGCCCTCAGTTCGCGATTGGATCCCGGCGACGGCGCAAGTGACGACCGGCAAAGCGGTGCCGCCGCCTCCGCAACATGGCAAGCGTGGACTATAGCGGCGGCGTGCTGCCTTTGCCCGATAGCCTGTACCTCCCCCTGATCTCTGACAGTTCGGGCGATGTGTTTCCGACGAACACGCTGACTCATTTCCGCGTGCAGCTCGAGTCCCCTCTCTACCTCGGTGATGGCGACTGGGTATGCGGCCTGGCGGAAATCATCTGGCCTCCCATGGAGGAGCCCCCAAAGAAGCGAAGGCGTCGAGATGTCGCATTCTCCCGCCCCTCCGCTGCCGGCCCGCCCTCGTCGAGGGGGCGAGTCTCCCTCAGGACGGTCAGTCCCGAGTCCCGGCGCACGATCCCCGTCAAGCCGTCGCTAGGGGGACTCTTTGCTGCCGCCCCGCCTCGCCCGGATGGTGTGCCTGTGTTGGCGGTGCGCCCGAATTACGGACCGCGATCGCCTCACGCCAGTCCCACGCGTTCGCCCGACGCCGGCGCTCCCTCGTTCGGTCCCTTCGATGCTCCCGCACCGCCCGCCCCCGACGTCCCTCGTGTCGAGGACGACCCGCCGCCGCCGGCATCGCCGCCCTCCAGCCCTCCGCCGTCCAGCTCTCCACCGTCCAGCCCTGCCCCGTCCAGCCCGCCGCCGCCGTCCAGTCCTCCTCCTCCTCCGCCCAGCCCTGCACCCTCCGCCCCGCCCGGGCCCGTCAGCCTCGTCACACCGGTCCAGGACGCCGAAGGAGACGCACCGACGCCGACCGCTCACGATGGCTCCCCCGATTCGCCGCCACCTGACGCCTCTGCTCCGCCACGCGAACCCCTTCGCCCCGTCTCTGCGGAGGCCTCGGAGGCGGGTCAAGAGAAGGACGACGACGGCGACGACGCCCCGGGGGGAGGGGCTGCCCTCTTCTCTCTCGCCCGCCGAGACGGCCCAGGCGGCGAATGCGTCGCCGACCCCGTCGCCTGTGAGCTCCCCGGAACCCGCCGTCGTGGAGGGGTCTGCGGAGCCTCCCCCCAACTCTATGCTGTACACGCCGTTGCTCATCGATACTCCGATGCTCGAGCCGGTTAGCCATGTGGCGAAGACCTTGGCCGCTAAAACCAAGGCTGCCGAGGCTGCCGCCCGGCCCGCCCCTCTATCCCCGGGGTCACGCGCTTTCATCTACTGCGACCTCATTCGCCCGAGTCTGTGTTCCGACTTTCGAGGCAAGTGCCTCCGCATCGTCCCCGTCTACGGTCATCAGGTCCAACAGACGCTGTATCCCGTCTACTACTTTCCCGTCGAGAAGCGAGTGGTGGATACGATCCACGTGGAGGTGAAGGATAAATACAATGAGTATCTGCCCCTCGAGGCCAGCGAACAGCCCTTGGTCCTCGTGCTGCATTTCAAACGGTCGGCAGTTGCTCCGTAGCCGAGGAGAGAGAAGGAGGTATGATGGCGTCCGCCAACCCCTACTACGCCTACTACGCGTCCCAGATCGGTGGGGGGTTGTCGACCCCCTACTACAGCTCCAAGTTCCGGGTCCAGGCCGGTCGCGGCTGGTTCGGCAACCTGTTTCGCAGCGCCTGGAACTATCTGCGCCCTCTCGTGGGCAGCGTCGCGAAGCATGCCGGAGCCGAAGCGCTCCACGTGGGCTCCAACATCATGAAGGAGGCCATTGCGAACCCCAAACGAATCGTTCAAAGACGTCGTCGGGCGCCAAGGGCCTGAAGGTCTGTCGTCGATCGCCAAGGCCGCGGCGGCGGGAGCCCGCGCGGCGCGAGGTCAGAGTGGTAAGGGCCGCGGACCGCGCCGTCAGTCCGGCCGAGACGTCGTCAAGCGCGGGTAGCTCCGTCCCAACGCGTCCTCCGCCGCCGTCGAAAGACGCCGCCCGTCCCTAGAGCCTCCTCGATCCGCGATATCTTCTCCCCACCATCACCATGAGTACGGGAGACTTCGTTCCCTGTATGATCCCGCAGCTGGAGCTGTTCAAGAAGAAGCCGGTGCAGTCCTGCATTACCGGGCGGATTCTGCAGAAGCTGAAGCCGCTTTCGGCCTTGCCCGAGCGCCCTGATGTGATCGAGTTTCTTTGCCCCGGGCGTCCCATGCACTACATGGACATTAATAACATCTGCCTGCGCCTCAACGTGACGATGAAGAAGGAAAATGGGAATAACCTGGATGGTCATAACGATGACGTGTCGGTCATCGACGCGCCTCTGCACTCCATGTTCTCTCAATGTGAGGTGTTTTTGTCGGAAGTGCCCGTGACCAAGAGCCCTCATCTGTACCACTACAAGGCGATCCTGGACCTGCATACGGGCTCCGACGCGAACGGGCGGGACGGTCTTCTGGCCACGTCGCTGTACATTCCCGACGAGTACCCTGCGTCGGAGGAGGGGCCTTGGGGAAAACGCATGACGCCCTTCAGGCGGTCCAAAAAGGTGGAGTTGCTCGGGCGGCTGCGTCCCGACGTGTGCCATATGGAAGACGGCGCCTACATCCTGGACAACGTCCCCATTCGCGTCCGTCTGACTCTCAATCCCCAGGAGGTCTATCTGTGGGCCAATGCTGCCGGTGAGACAGCGAAGATGGTGTTCAACGATGCCGAGCTGCAGATCCCCTATTATGTCGGCACCCCCGAGCTGTCGTTGGGGATGGAGCAGATGTTGAGCCAGCAGCCGGCGACCTATCGGTTCAAAGGAACGCAACTCCGCACCTTCCTTCACCCCGCCCAGTCCCCCAATATCAACATCCCCATCGCCGTCAGCGGCAAGCTGCCCACGTCCCTTCTGCTGACGGTGGTTGAAGCTTCCCACTATAACGGCACCCTGCGGACGAATCCCTTCCATTTCCCCCACAGCGGGTTGGAGGAGATCTCCTTCATCTGTAACGGTCACGAGCGTCGGTTCGTCATGGATGGCGACAATCCCTATGGCTGCACGAGTATGCTGAGGAGCCTGTACACGGAGCTCGGCCTGGAGCATGAGGAGTCGAGCGGTCACGTCTACGACATGAACAACTTTACTACGGGCAAGTTTGCGTGCGCGGTGGACCTGACGGTGGACCATTCTGGCGGCGGCCCCAGCCAGACCCTGCAAGAGTACGGTACGGTGTCGATCCAGGGTCGTCTGAAAGCCCCTCTCCCCCATGCGCTCTGCATCATTCTCTACGCCAAGTACGATAGCGTGTTGGAAATCAACGCCAGTCGCGAGGTGACCGTGCTTTAGACATGAAGGACTTTACATCGGCCACATCGACCCTGGAGCTGATGGCCGCGGCCCGCGCGCATCCTGCGCTCCGACGGTTTCACGTGGGCACCTTCCCTCTGGACGCCCTCCCCTCGCTGAACGTCGCGGGCCGGCCGCGGCATCTCATCTACAATCTGTCTCCCTCTTTCCGCCCTCCCGGCACCCACTGGGTATCGATATGGCTGGGTAAGGACCTGGAAGCGGAAGTGATGGACAGCCTGGGACAGCGCCCTGCGGCCCCCGAAGTCCTGGGTTTCCTTCGCCGCCATAGCGTTCGAGCCGTCTATTCGGAGCGGCCCATTCAACATTGGTCCAGTAACGCTTGCGGGCTCTATTGTCTGAGCCACGGTCTGGCTCGAGCCCGCGGGCTGTCCCTCCCCTCCTGGCTGTCGCAGTTTTCGACCCGCCTCCCCGATAATGACGCCCTGGTGCAGTGTCAGTTCATGCGGGAGCTGGCCCTCCCCTCCCTGTTCTCCCCCCTCCTGCGCAACTGGCGGCAGCATGTGGCGCGAGCGTGCCGGAACGTCAGTCTGTCGCGTCGAGCCCTGCCGCGAGCATGCACCCGTCGTCGGCGCAAGAAGCCCTCCCCTGCCAGGACGCCTCCGTGAACACCATGTGTCTCATCACGGAAGATGACGTCGGTCCCGAGAGCCAGGCCCTCTTCGAGTCCTACCTAGCCAGCCTGGCGGAGCAAGCGAGCCAGCCAGCGCAGCTGCTGCTGCAGCAGCCCGAGGTGAAGGAGGAAGAGCGTCAGCTGCCCGAGTCGGAGGCTGTCCCCGAGCAGTCGCCTTCCAAGTCCGAGCGGAAACGACCCCGAAAGCAAGGTGAGACTCCCACCCTTTCCCCTCGCGGACCGTCGTAGGCATAGGTCGATGCAGCGGTGCTTAAGGCTCTCTCCCTTCCCTTGTGTTGCAGCCCATCCGCGGCCCCGTCGTCGTCCCGCCATCACGCCCCAGGCCTCCTCCTCCTCGTCCAGGAAGAAGAAGAGGGAAGCGGTCGACCAGCCAACCCTGTCCGAGCAGCCCACCCCGAAGCGGAAAAAGCAGCAGCAGCTGCAGCCGCAGCAGCCCTCCCTGTGTCATCATGTGGAAAGATTGTGTCAGCTCCTGCGCGTGTTGTCGGGTGCGCAGCCATGTGTCAAGAAAAGTTCCTAAAATAAAAGTGTTCATGTGAAGCCAACTCCAAGTGTTCTTTCTTTCTGTCCGTCCTCCTTTCCATCCGCCTTTCAAGGAAAAGGAAATAAAGAGAGAGAGATGGGATGTTCTTTTGTTGGGTATTTATAATTCAAAATTTCGGTGAACATGGTCGGGCTCGCCCGTTGCGGCGACATACAAATGCTTATATACACACACACACAAGGCCCTATCTCTGTACACATGGCCGTCAGAGGCTCAAGAAAAAAAAAAAAACACAAAAACCTTAGTCTATGTACAAGCCTTAGGGACCTACATGGGCACACCATCACAGTCTCTTTGGTTTCAAGCAGACTCGGCGTTCACGTCGCCATCGTCAGATCGCATGTAATCAATGAACATTCTTGCAAAGAGTTCCTTGTGGCGGAACAGCATGTCTGAAATAAATTCTCCCTCTATATCGAGCGTGGGCGCCATCAGTTTGACTGAGCCCAGTTTGCCGCTCAGAGCGGTCATCACAGGGTACACTTCTTTCTCACGAGACAGGGCCTGCTGTCCCATGCTGCGGGCCTGGGCACGCATCACCTCCATGCTCCGCACGAGCCACTCCGCGCCCAACTCTCCCACCGAGTCCAACAGATCGAGACGTTGCAGGATGGCTGGAGCAGCATAGTACAGGGCGGTGCAAGACACCTCCCCCAAAATCACAAAACTCTCACCCTTGGCGAGGCGCAGCCCCGGTTCTCCGTTGCGCAGGGTGACGCACTGGAACTCCATGTTGCCGGCTCTGCTGCTCACGCCCCCCTCAGCCTGAGGGCGGTCCAGGTGTTCGAACACGTCGGTCCGCATGGAGGGCGTCAGAAGGTGTTGCAACTCGAGCACGGACAGCTTCACGCCCAGGCCGGAGGGGCTCTCAATGACGGTGCAGATGTCCAGCTTGCGCAGCAGGTCGAAGCCGAGCGTCAACCGCTTGGAGCGGGAAGGGTTGAGGTCCCAGGTCTTTTCAAAGACCCATCGGTTGGGGTCCTTGGGTCCGGCCACCAGGCGGCGCATGGCACGCAAACAATCGGCATCGAGAGAGCGCATCCCCATGATCTGGAACAAGCAAACCCATGCGAAGGCGCAGACGATAAGCACAGAGGCCCAGACAGGGGGTAGCGAGCAAGGGCGGACCTGGAGGGAAACACTCACCAGCGAGAGAGGAGAAGGATGAGGTCGTGAGGACGGCGAACGGTCGAGCAGGGAAGCGGCTCTGGCAGACTGCAGGATGCGAGTGTGATCCTCACCTCTCCGCCGGGAGCTTTTATCGGCCGCCGCCTTCCCTGCTCGCGTGGAGGGGATGGACTCGGCTCCTCGGCTCGGCTCGGCTCACCCTCACCCCCACCCTCTGCCCGGTCCAGCCGGCAGCCGGGCGGGGCTCGAGCGGTCGAGGGCCGAGTGCAGCCTGTCAGGGTGCGAGGGGTGGGCGATCAGCCCGATGTCGGCGATTCGCAGCCCGGTAAAGATCCGCAGACCGGTCAAGATCCGCAGACCGGTCAAGATCCGCAGCCCGGTTGTGAATCGCAGCCCGGTTGTGACTCGCAGACCGGTTGTGACTCGCAGACCGGTTGTGACTCGCAGACCGGTTGTGACTCGCAGACCGGTTGTGACTCGCAGACCGGCCGGGGCGGCGGCGGCGGCGGCGGCGGCGGCGGCGCGCCTTTAGGGCCCTCAACGTCCGTCCTCATGCCGTCAGGCCACGATCGCGGCCAGCGCTGATCACGGGCCGATGCGGACCGACACTCTGGAAACGGACATGAATACTTAGAAGGCGTCAGCTCGAGTCTGCAAGGAGCAGGGGTCCCGGTCGGGAGGGGTGAGGAGAGACACTCACCAGGGCGTCGAGCAGCTGTCGATTCCAACCGTCGCCACGGTGGCAGCGAGCGTTAGGGTGCCAACCGTCATCCTTCATGGGCGGGTCGTTATGTCCCTTCATCCTGAAACAACAGCAGGGAGGGGTTAGAGGACATGACGGTTGACCCCAGCCGGCATCATGTCAACCGCCATGCGTGCTAACCAACGGACCTAGGGGAGGCAGGGGGGCATGCCGCCCGCATGCGACCATCTGCCCGGGCCAGCTTGCCATTCTCCCCCCACATTCTCCCTCGACCCCTCATCGTCAACCGTCAGCTCGGAACGGTTATGTGGGGGAGCCGCTAGGGGTCCGGGGAGGGTCGTCGTCGTCAACGGTCGGAGGCGCAACGGCCCATCGACCCCCCGCCGTCTAGCCCGCTTGGTCCGCCAGGGCCATCAAGACGTCCAACAGCTCCATGTCCTCGGCATCCAAACCGCCATCGTCCTGCAAGACGGAAATAGAAGGAATGAGCCAAAGAGCAACACGGCCACGTCCTGGAGGGACAGATGGCGGACTTACCCTCGCCTCTTCTCGCAACACCTGGCTCACATGTTGGTCGATATGGGCCTCGTCCATGTCCTCCCAGAACATCTGCAAAACACACGCACCCCCACGAGGGCGTTAGAACACGTCCGCGCACCCCGAACCCACACACACACACCCTTCCCTACCCGCCTAGCTTACCTGGGTACGCCGCTCCGGAGGGACGTAGCCGAAGGCGCGGGTCCGGATACCGTCAGCCTCAATGTACCGCTTGTTGTCGAAATTCTGTAGCCCCACTTTCGTCTGTTGAACCGTGAAAAGGCGGTGCTGCCCGTCCGTGCGGATGCTGCTGTACGTCACATGCTTCGCCACACCGTCAAAGACGCACCGCTTATAGTCCTCAAACGACACGGTCCTCTTCAACGCCGCCTTTTGGACGCCCTTGGCCTTGTAGACGACGGACTGCCCCGACGCGGAGGTCAGATCTAGGGCGTACACTTTGCTTCTTACCCCCGCGTAGCGGACGATGTGGTGACTGCCATATTCGATCTTCAGGCGGCCCTGAACGCGAGCGTACCGAGCGTCGTACAGAGGGTGGTCAGCGGGGAGGCTCGACGTGTCCAGCATGTCCATGAGAGGTCGCAAATCCTCCACAATGTCCGGCGTCCGCAGCTCCACAGCGAGCGAGTCCGTGTCAGTCAGCAACATATCCATACGGTCGCCAAACTGGTCTTTGAGCCGCCAGTAAAGACTCATCATCAGTCTTTTGCTCAAGTCCAGCACGGCGACACCCGCCGCGGGCAGGTTATTCATCTTGATTTTCGTCGGCATGCGCTCTACCGCCACCATGTTAGGTCCGAAAATCGTAAAACCCATGGTGGTGGGCTTGGCCATGAGCTTGCGGAACCTCCTTCCCGAGCGTACGAGTTCCAGGTTCCGGTCCTTTCGGGGGTTTCGAAGGAGCTGACCGTAGATGGAGTTGGACATCACCTGGAGGGACAGAGACAGAGAGACAGGGGTCAGCAGGGAGGACGATGGGGGCGAGTCGGATGGGGAGAGGAGGAGGAGGAGGAGGCACGATCAACTCACCTTCCAGGCCTGCTGCTCAAACTTGTGTTTCGCCTTCTGCCTCTCCAGCATCAAGTCCTGGATGTAGGGCTTCAGGAAGGCCTTCTGTCGGAAACGAATGCCCCGATAGTAGCGAGTCACTTTCAGACCCCGCTTGAGGTAGGCCGCCAGGGCGAGCCCGTGGACCAAGTACTGCTTCCGAGGCCCGAGATGGGAGACCAGCTTGGGCTGGCAGACCTGAGCGGGTCGGAGCCGACACGCCTCCATCATCTCTCGCTGGAGGGGTGAGAGCCACTCTTCCGGCACGGGGCAGCGCTCGACGGCGCACGGAAACTCATTATCTCGATCGTGGAGCTCCTCTGGGTACTCCAGGTCGACGACGGCCATGTACATGATGTTGGATTCTTCATTCAGACTGTCCCACTGGACGCCCGCCATGACCTCCGGGTCGACCCACTCATAGTGGGAATAGGGCAGAGGTTGCTCCATCATCATCGAATACATCTGAAAAGGAAACAGCGAGGGTGAGACGAGGGCGCCGAAATAGGAATGATACGAAACGCAGTGGAGCACTTACCGCATTAATGTCGAACATCATAATCTTGCTAGGGGGTAGGTCCGGGTTGAAGTTGGGGGTGTCAGGGTCGTTGGCCTCGGCATACCTCTTATGCACGGCTGAGTATCCCCCTTTAATACCCGCGGTCAGAAGGGCGTGCATGCCGGGGTCGCCCACTCGCTGGACCTTGGCACCCGTAAACTTGTACATCGCCGTGAGGCTGAGCGACGAGCTGCTCACGAAGTGGTCCACCTCCAGACCGTACTTGCCGAAGATCAGCTTCTTGTACTTGGTCATGAAGGAGGCAAGCAGGATGACGTCGGTCTGGAGGTAGTGGATGCAGTAGTCCATGAGGGAGGAGCACCCCAGACCGTTCCACACTTCGATGGCCCGCGCATAGTCAGCCTCACTCGGGGTCGAGCCCGACAGAGACGAGAAGAAGGCCTCCCGGGGCGGCAGCTCCTTCTGGGCCTCCATCTGAGCGTGCGACTTGCAGAACTCGTAAGGGAATACCCCCTTGCGCTTCAACAGGCGCTGATGCTCCTCTTCGGGGTATACCGCTTTGAGTAAATGCAAGTCCTCGTCCGCCAAGGACTGGCTTATCTCATCGAGGGAGGATGCCACAAACTGGAAACTGTCCAGGAACCTGAGCGCCCTCCCTGTATCTTTGAGATGAACCGTGGCGGAACGATACGTATCAGTCGTTTTGGCCAGCACCGAGAGTTTGTGTCTCTTCATTCTCGGGTGCCGGATCATAGCGCGAAAGATACAGTGCATATCGTATCTATTCGCGTTATGAGCCACGACCGCCGTGTAGGGCCTAACTCGAATCGCCGAGTTGCACGTGGCGTGCAAACTGTAACGATAATTGGCCTCCTTAACAAGATGGTCGTGATCCAAACACTTGACAAATTTCGGCGACCGTTTGGCGGCCTCACCCTCCAGGAATGGACCCTGGCACAGATCGCAAACGGTGGCGGCGTCATGTCGCGCCTGCTGCTCGGGAGAAGGATTTGCGGGGAAGTTGGGCCTCTTCGCGTGGAGCCGGGCCTCCATGGCCTCCAGCTCGAGGATGAAGGTGCGGGTGACATCTTGCTTCTTGCTGTCCTCGTGATGCCGGGTCACCATCTCCACGAAATTGCCCTCCCAATCCACAGCAACGAGGCAGAACGCGACCGCCTTATGCTCCTGAGTCCGCCGGGTCCGGCGGGGCGCTTGTCCGGGTCGCTGCGGGCGCTGGGCGTCCTCGGGAACGTCGGGGAGCACCGCCTCCAGGTCGTAGTAGATGGTGAACGGCGACCGCTGGACGCGGTGCCACACCTTGCGATCGAACGAGGCGAAGCCGCCCAGGTAGTCGATCTTCTGAGTGCCAAACGTCCTGCAGAGCTCCTCGTGCTCCTCCAGATGGTCAGGCTTCTTGAAAGCTCCCAAGCAGTAGCAGCAGAAGTACAGGCCGTTCCGGGATTTCCGCAGGCTGCCGAGAAACGTGTGCAGACTCTTGACTAGGACGTAGTGGCTCTTCCGCGGATCCTCCTTATCCTGGATCAGCAGCAGAGTCACGTGATGTCGACGTTTCTGACGTGTGTTATACTTGACGATGATGTGGTGGTTTTTGGGTTGCTTCGTGGGGTCGACAGGCTCATCGTCGGGGTCGGCGACAGCAGCAGTCCGTCGGGCGCGGGGGGCAGGAGGAGAACGGGTCGGGGCCTTCGGCCTCAGGTGCGGAGGAAGAGCGTCTTCGTCCTCTTCTTCTTCATCTTCATCCTCATCCTCCTCCTCCTCCTCTTCTTCATCCTCTCCCTCCTCCCCTCCGGCAGCGGCGCCCGCCGGCAGGAACTCGCGAGCCGCAGCAGCAGCCGTCTCGCCATCCGAGTCTTCGTCTTCATCATCATCGTCGGGCTCGTCCACGACAATGGCGAGGACAGTCAGGGAGATATCGGGGTTCAACTTCTCAAACTTGGGCAAGTCCGAGACCCTCATGGGTTGGCAGTCCAGGCCCTCCGTGTTGATTCGAGTGTCCACGAAGGGCAGATAATGGTTAGGCCGCTCTCGATGCTCAAGGGGCTCATCCAGTCTGAGGGAGGCCACAACCGAAAGGCGGAAGCAGTCCTGGCTACCTTCAGCGTTACGAATGTTGATGAGACACTTTTTACGCTCCAACCAGGTAGGGAGGGGGATGTAACTGCCCCCTGCCTTCAGGGGCTGGTAGGTGCCGACGTTGAGCTCGAGCGCGTGCACCTCGCCAACGACCCACGAGCTTCCCTCGAGCAGCATGCTGTCACCATTGTCCAGCACCTCCATCATCGCGACCTCCACCTGCCCCTCCACAGTCTCGGGCACGTTGAGCAGCACCTGGGCTCCACTGCGTAGGGACCGCTCTTC